GAGATTCGGGAATCACAGTGAATGCGATAAGCATGGGAGAATGGTAATAGTTAAAACATTACAGAGAACATACGGATAAATTAATGTCAGTCAGAATTGCCTGCTGGAAATGGACAATTCTATGGTTGGACTTATTCATGGTACTAATTAATTTCCATAAATTGAATGTAGTCAAAATAAGTGAACGCTATAAGAAATTATATGATAAATAATCAAATGAGTGACACAACGAATGATACAGTTAATGATATATGGAATCGTGCAATGAATCAGAAATATATTTAAAACCACTCATAATCATCGTACTACTTTACAAAGCAAAGGGTTATAAAAATTACGTATGTATAACACAGTGAAACAAGTAGAAACTGAAAAGCCGAAAGACGAAACTCATTAAGTCAACACCACATTGCTAGTCTCAGTGCCATCGGTTTCGCAGTAACAGAAGCAAACTCCTGACTGTATTACTCGAAACGACGTCGATAAACATTTGTAGATAGAGTTATATGTATATTTCCAGACGATAAGGGCGGCAGGGGAAGTGTAACGTCGTAGCCCGGTTTCCCCGATATCGATTGCAAAACTTAGACCCGGATCTCTGCTTTAAAAGTTTTTCCACCGTCATACCCTTTTCGTTCCCTCGACTTGCCTCTTACTGTTTGAGGTCAGTTTCACGTGAAGATAGAAGTTTGCACCTAATGAGCTTGAAATTATGATACTCCAAACATGCACTCTTTCCCGATACAGTTCGACTGACACAAATTTACTACTCATTTGATTATATGTTATACATGCATACATATATTAAACTCCAGTGCATATAAAACTTCATACTTGTACTTTTCATTGACTTTTAATCATGCTTCGATTCTTTACTATTTATTCAAACAGATTCAACTTCAACAAATCTTCCTTTTGCTCTATCCAGCTGCTACATTAAATTATGTCAATTAATATTAAATTTTATTTAAATTATATGAACGCACAAAACATATTTTAAATTACATCAATTAATGCAATTTTTGTTGCACACAGTGGTTCCTCTAGTGATTCGTCGCAGCTTTTAACAACCATCGAAACACGGGCCACACGGGGAATCACGAATTCGCCTTGAATTCTTTGCTCGTTAGCGGAAACTCGAGTCCACTTTGAGCACCAGGCAAAAGTAAAACCACCAACGAAACGGTAATTAAACGGCGGCACGGCGGTGGTCGTTGGTCGAAGGAAATAAGACGAAGTGAGGTGTTTTTGTAGCGTAAAACTACTTTCTTAGTAGCAGTTCCCTGGTTTTCTACTTTCTCCTCTCTTTGTGATCGTCAAATGATCGCGCGATTTCGCTATATTTTTATTTTTGAATCGTCATACAATCTAACAATTATTTTAGGAAAATGTAACTATGAAAAAGTGACTGATCAGATATATTCATAGTAAAAAGAATACAATTAATGAACACTGTTTGACTCTTCTAATCCATTAGTGCTTGTATTTTATTGTCTTTCAAATTTTGTAATTATTTAAGCAATGTTCAACTAAATTTGTATTATAATAATGCGTATCAGAAGCAAGACTGCGTGTAATGTGATTACATTCTTGATCGCGTCTTATTCGATAGAAATCAAGAATCTCACGGTCTGTGAGATACGCTGTGAATACCATTGCGCTGCCAGGATATAAATGATACAAAGAACCTCCCTTCCTTGCTTGCGATATTTTCCTCAAGCTATTCTTTATCAAATATTCAGTAGCGAGCTACGAAGACTCCAAACAGAACGCAGTCCACTTAAAACATTGCTCCTGTCCGAAACAATAAATCGGAGCATCGGATTTATGTCACGTTACTTATAGAAAAATGCCACGCCATAAATTTCGAGTATACTCTACCGATGTAAACTAGATACGGACTAGTAAAATCCAAGCTCGCGTCCTAATTCTACGTGAAACATGCTCAACAGCGAGGCTCTCGTTCATCACGTCCATCCATTGAACCTTCACACAGCATACGTCAAAAATGATAATTTAATGTATTCGACACCTTCATTCTAATACCACGTATCTGACAAAAGTGAAATTTTACAGAAGAGCAAACAACTTTTTGTTCTAACTAGTTTCATATTTCCTGTTGGTTACTTACTTTTATTTAAACAGCTTTTTACTACAATTGAAATCGTAGATAATGTCAAAAATAGTCGTAGGGACATTCCAAGCCCAAATCTTTTTAAAGTTCCTAGTACGTGGTATTAGAATGAAGACATCAGTGCACAAAGATTAGCATAATAACGTGAGAATTAAGATATGTCGAAATGTTACACACTTTAATTGGTTTTTGTAGCCAAAATTTAAGTTTCCGGTTGTTCACGAAAAGTTAATATTTTTTGCATTGTCGGCAGTAATTCTTAAGAGGGTATCCACCGGTGAGTTTCTCCATTTTCTCTCTCCTTCTCTCTGTGGTAGAGAAACGTAATATCTCACCCTATTCGCGGCAGGAGCACCGTAGCGAATACCATCGGGACTCGAGGCTTGTGCATTCGCAGAAGCTCACGGAGTTCCCACCCCGCCCTGTTCAACAGTGGTTTCGCGTGCGTACACCGGCGCGGTAACATCATTTAAGATCCCCCCGCCGACGCGATGGAACTTTAAGTTGCATCTGGTGCGGCGAATGAAATGCGATCTAATAAGTCGGGCGAGGCCACCGCAACGAGCTCCTTTACCTTCTACTTGAGTTTCCAGTTCCCGCGAACGTTAGGCTGATCCTCGATTTTAAAAACCTCGACTGAATTCGATTTCTCTCACGACTTGCACATTCAACTTTGTGTAAGGTCAACCGCGAATTTTTTAGAAACCGTCCACGGAGAAATCATTTCAAGTAGTAGTCGTGAAAATTAATTTTATGATCTCCTTTAAATTTTTACTGTATGTCACTAATGACGCTATTATTTTTATCGATGATTAAAATTATAGGAAGCCTAGCAATAAATGTCACTTATTTTACGCGTAAACCTTGCATTGAAATCTCGCGAAAATTACATTTTTAATTATGACAAAAAAAATGCTTTCACAATTTTTTAGAAAAACTAATATGTCGTGTAAAAGAGTCGTAAGAATCTTATATAAAGAAATTAGAGTGGGCAGCGTCATCGTTTGTGAGTAAAAACATTCTAAAAGGTGCAAAGGTGTCGAGAAAAAACTCATAGAGGAAGATATATATGTGAGGAATAGATTCACAAGGTATACGTTCATATCTAAAACTTCCTTTCTGGTCTCACATCAGTAAAGAACACAAGACCACAGGTGGGATCTGTATTCATACACAGTGAACTTTTTAATGCCATTGTAACATGACTAGAAACTACCTTAAAAGCATGGTAACCTCGCTGAACAAACAAAAATATTTGAAACAATTGCACTTACTAAAATCGAAAACTCGCCTCACGTACGCGCATATAAAACTTGCATTTTTTTAATCTCACCTGGAAGGCAACGCGACCGTGTTTCACTGTGGAAAGATAACGACGGCCTTTTATCACCGGGTACTCATAAACTCGGCCAAGTAAGTAATTTTATAAATAAACGAACCGTGAAGTATCGTGCCATTCCCCCATTTTTCATTGTTCGCTGCTCTCCGGCCGTTTTGCTCAGTCAAAGATAAACGATAAAGGAGAAAAATGGGTAGTTAGAAAGATAAAAAAGTCATTTTAAGTGCAAGCAAAATGTTATTACTGGTCTTTTCTATCAAACTTTTTCTTACATTGTTCACTGAGGAGATACTATTAAATAGTGGCAGCGCCCGTCTAATCGTTCGGGGGCCCAATGGGGCTGAAAACACAATCATACTCTTTAGTAATCACTCCTCGGTGATTGTATTATACAAATGAATATTCTACATTCATGACATAAGCACTAAATATAATATTTCCTTCGCAAGAATATTTAATTCTATACGTAATAAAATAATCGAGGATACACTACACCGGGTAACAAAAGAATCGAAATATCTGAGTTAAAAAAGGAAGAAGGGAACGTTTTGTCAGGAATATTTTTTGCTCGATCTCGAACATCGACAAACGTTGAACGTGGTGCTTTGAGCACTGTTACGCCCAGTGATATTTAATTCGATCCCGCGGACCTTTGTGCGAACCTCATCGTTCATGGAATTTCCATATAAACGTGGTTCGCGCAGCTCGCAATAGTTTAAACACAGGGCCGAATGCAAATGCGCTTCGCCGTCAGTTTCTCGCACGAGAGGAAATGTTTTTCCCTTAGCCTTTGCGCGCTTACTGATTTCACATGCAAGCCGAACTTTATGACCGAGGGGTGAGTGTCATAGAAAAACAATTTGTAATTGCAAAACCAATAAAAGTGTTTCTCACATCTTCTCATACATAAATTATATGAAACTGAAAATATTTTTATTATCTTCATAGCGATATTCGATAAAATAGTCAGTAAAATATTTTTCACTAACTATAATGATTATCATGACACAAACGACAAGTGGACAAAATTTTTTCAAGACAAAATTAAGCACAAAATGACAGAGAGCTACGAGAAAGCACTTGAGAAAAAGTGAAGTCCGTTCCAATTGAATCGAGATTCCCCAGTACGGTGTAGTTTAGCAAGAAACGCAAGCTTCCAGCCAGTGTAGCAAGGCGTGGAAATTATTCTTCTTTACCTAACACCATCTGATAGGGTGGAAGCGTAAGAAGTAAATGGAAAACGACGGAAGACAAACGAGCTACAATTCGTATAAGCATGCAACGCGTAACTGAAAAAGCTTAACGAACCGGGCGGAGATAAACAATGGTTTAATCTTCAACGCGCTGTGCACAGCGCGATTGCGCGGTTTTTTGGTTATTGACGAGTTAAAGAAACGAATCTCTCCCTGTTTACCGAAGTAAAGTATTCCCGACTAACGAGTCCTCCACGAAATAACTGGAACACGTTCCAGTTTCGCGTCGCCATTCGTTATCGAAAAATTATTGCTGGAATAAGAAGCAACTTACCGGGAATCTGCGGACCGATACGTTTTCTATTGTCCCTCCAACGAGTGGAAGAATTCCTGGAACACAAAAAACGAGAGAATAAAATGTTTGCGACGTTACGGGAAATCTCAGCTTAATGCTAAACAGAACAAACAATCTTTGCTTTAATGTTTTTACAAGATTTAAATAAATTAATATGTACATGCTCTAATTGTGAATAAATAAAAAATAAATTCATTTCTAGCAGACAACGATAATCGTATTCCAAAATCGTTAAAATTTGATGAGACTATAATCGATACATACGTGTGTCTAGAATGTATGTATCTAGAATTTCAAACTGAGGGCATAATTTGTATTAGTATCCAAAGGAAAATAATAATTCATTCATTCATAACAAAATCTTCTAGTTGTATGTTCCTCTTTATTCATTCCATTAACGATTCAACGTAAACTATAATTTATGCTAATAAACCCGAATTACAAGCTAATTTTTCTAAAAATTAATGAAACGTAACGCATTATATTATAATTTCAGAGGTATGAAAAATCTATAAGAATACGCTGGGGTATAAAATTTTTCAGGAAGAATTGAAATGTTAGTGGATTATTAATTAGATGCACGGTATGCTGGATAGCTGATGAAGATAAATGGGCACTAATCCCTTTGTGTATCCTCGACTACGTGTCCGGGAACGAACACACGTATTTGCGCACTATGCCTGTGTGGGAATGCGCGCGTTATACATTGACATCCGCGCGTATGCAACTCGATAGACGCAGAGAATTCTCGTACGGATTTCGAAGTTGGTATAATTAATTAGCGGAGCAATTACGACGCGTAATGAAGCCGCACCCGAACGAACCGAATGTGCACGAGACACGTTGAACAATCACGATACCTACGTTGTTAACGAAGATCGCATCTCCCTTTTTCGCACTCAGAAATCGAAGTTTTTCTTTCTTTATTTTCACGATTTCATCGTCGCTTGCGCAATCATTAACATTCGAATGGACGAGTATAATTTTTTAATTTTTACAGAATAGTTGTGATTAAAATCAATTTAACAATAATTATTTTGCATATTCAGACTGCTTTGATTTATTCAGAAAATATTTTTGTTTATTTGTTGTATTTAATTAAATGTTCTAAAGCATCATTTTTTCTCAATTAAAAATTGACATAATTATTTTCAGAATTATTTTAGACTCTCCCTAAATATTTCTAGTCTATGAATCGACGAGGTACTAAAGCAAATCCACAAACCTAAAGGAGATCTGAAGAGGTGTCTTCGTAGGCAACCGGCCAACATGCAAATGTTTCGCGCTGAAATTCCCGGTTTAATCCATATTAATGTCACTAATTAAGCCGTAGATAGGTTCGTTCATATTTCACGCGCTCCTTGCTTCTCGCGCAGAAGCGTCGATAAACCAGCAAAAAACACTGGCTCGTGAATGTTTCAAACGTATATTAGCAAAACGGTTCTTTATGGAGTTAAACGATAAATAATTACAATTTATCTTGAGTTAAATATCAATCGCTTTTGAATTAAGCTGAATCTTGAATTTTAATCTCTACAATGATACAATTTTGGAGTCGTGATTATTTAAATACAATTAATAAATGTTGTTACTTATAAAATTATAAGTTATCAACAGGTATTATATAATGTGAAGTATACGAAGAAAAAGTGAATATCTGTACCTCTATTTCGTAGTCAATATAAAAAGTCGCTTATAGTCAATAAAATACATAAAAATCTCATATCAAAATAAACAAAAAATAAAAATTCTTCCACTATCATTGAAGATTCATAAAAGATATCAAGTGGAACTTGAATGTACAAGAGATGTAAAGAGCTTCAAGCATCTCTAAACTGTTTCTGGATTCTTGTGGTAGATCAAGAATAGATTCAGATAATTCAAAAGATAGGACAAATTGCTAACTTTGTGGCTATCAAGGATCCGTTTGCGACGTACAAAATCGATCGTTTCGCAAGTATCTGGAGGACGATTGATCCTATCTGAATGAATGGGATGAGGGCGAGGATATGCGGTTCCAGTCAGATCCAGGCAACGTCTAATTGCTCCCGAGGGAATCGGGTCGTCGCCGCAAACGCATCTAGACCGCGATCTACGTAGCCAATTAACTAAGTCGCTGAATTGCGCCGTAAATACATACAAATGGTCCGTCGCGATTCTACGTCAAACCATAGACGAACGTTTCTCGGCTTCTCCCGCATTGATGATTAGACGATGAAAACAGACCTAATAATTTCTAATGATCTCTAATAACATCTGTTGGTTAAGAAACCAAAATGTGTTTTCTTAACTTATTTACAATTTCCGTAAAAAGATCTTTTATGATCATTAAAATATGTTATTCCAATAAAACCTCATAAAAGATATCAAGTGGAACTTGAATGTACAAGAGATGTAAAGAGCTTCAAGCATCTCTAAACTGTTTCTGGATTCTTGTGGTAGATCAAGAATAGATTCAGATAATTCAAAAGATAGGACAAATTGCTAACTTTGTGGCTATCAAGGATCCGTTTGCGACGTACAAAATCGATCGTTTCGCAAGTATCTGGAGGACGATTGATCCTATCTGAATGAATGGGATGAGGGCGAGGATATGCGGTTCCAGTCAGATCCAGGCAACGTCTAATTGCTCCCGAGGGAATCGGGTCGTCGCCGCAAACGCATCTAGACCGCGATCTACGTAGCCAATTAACTAAGTCGCTGAATTGCGCCGTAAATACATACAAATGGTCCGTCGCGATTCTACGTCAAACCATAGACGAACGTTTCTCGGCTTCTCCCGCATTGATGATTAGACGATGAAAACAGACCTAATAATTTCTAATGATCTCTAATAACATCTGTTGGTTAAGAAACCAAAATGTGTTTTCTTAACTTATTTACAATTTCCGTAAAAAGATCTTTTATGATCATTAAAATATGTTATTCCAATAAAACCGTATTACAATTCCTGTTTCAATCTTAGAGTGTTGAATCTATTAAGAAATTAACAAGAACTTATCTTTTCCCATTATCTTATAAAGATCAAATAGATAATTAAATATGCAATCTTCATTTTCTAAACATTTAAAAACTTGAACAACCCCCATCGCTTAAAAAGATCTCAACTCATCAGTTGCATTCAATTACCCGAATGACTTCTTAGAAATTCTCTCCGATCTCGATTAATCCACTCGGCCCTCTCCATTCACTGAGGTCATCGAGAAAAAATTCCCTCCCTCGAACAAAGCGTCGCATACGAAAATGAGGCAATTTGATCGATTGCCGCGATCCCGTAAGGTTTCCACTACTCGAGGGATTTCGCCTTTGTTCCCGGCTAGCTCTCTGAATGCATTTACCGCGAAAAAAACGGAAAAGCGGATCGGATAAGCGCGACGAATCATTACGCGACCCCGTCAAAGTTCTCTTCCAGAGAGTGTTGTTATCACCCGGAGTACGCTGCGCCCCGTCGGTCGATTCGTCGTTATCGCGTTACCTACGTTCGCCCTGACGAGCAACCGAGCCAAGTGATAAATCTGAAACGGATGCCGTGTCGTATCGATTCCTGTTCGAACCAATCGCGATTTCTCTCTGCTAGCTACGTAGGTCTTAACATTTCCTGGTTCTGACTATCATGAATCTTTCATCAATTACCGTTTAGTTCTACTAAAACCGGAGATGAAACAACAGCTTTCCGGACATGAAAATCCTTAAAAAATTTTGAATAAACAACCTACGTAATAATTACCTATGTCAATACTATGATAAATATAAAAACAAAATAGGGATAAAATTCCGAAAAGACCATATCTCCAACTTTTTTCAAACCACGTATACTGACGTATCTCGATGTATTAATCCTTTCGACGTGTTAACCCAAAATAGTTTACACCACCATTCGTTTTCTTAAAACGAAGCAACTTTCTTTTAAAGCGCGAAACGAATTAATCTTTTGCACCGAGCGGTGGAGTTTGATCAATCGACTAGTCACTTTAGTAAGACGAATATGAATAGCCGTTTCTCAGCTAACCAGCTGGCCGACCGCATTTTTTCAATTTCTCTTTCCTACCATAAAATAAACTACACACGGGTTACGGAATAATTTAGAGGCCGGGCGTTTTCAATATCGAACGAAGATAGCAGCAGGCTGAGCATGCTTGAAAACGGGATTCCTCCATCTTTTAAACGTTGCCCTCGTACGAACGCGAGACCCGGGAGAAGGAAAATCCATTCGTGTGCGCGGAACAACGTCTCGTTTCGTCTCGAGATTATCCCGCGTTAGAGATCGCGCAGTAGTATGGGTACCTACTAACGGCTATGTCTTCATTCGCAATTCATTCGAACCAGGCGTAGTAACAACTTTTCACGGGACCATTATTTTTAATAAACTGCAAGCGGAAGCTGCTCCTAGCCTACGCTATTCATCGACCGGGCATTTTTTATCCTTTTCTTTTCTCTCAACGTCGAATGACAATTTTACAATACCTTGTATGCTTTGTTTAAGCCAATCGAACAGATTAAAAAAATGCGTGTTTAAATTCTATTCTGTTTGTCTGTCGCAAGCGATAAAATTAATTCTGGTCATGTACACGTGGTTCATTCGATTTTGACCTACAAAATTTGGCACGCTGCGCGCCCCGCGCCGCTAGGGAGACGCGTACTTATACATATGAACGTGTTGGAATTAATCTATCTGTATGTTCGGCTAGGCTCAAATAAGCAACGGGAGTGATTTGTAATAAAATGTTTGATTTCTTCCCTATCACATTATTTTACTACTTCATTAAATGGAAATTAACTGAACGCAACTGCCGGATTACAGATTTAATAATCATGAAAAGAACATGTATTTGAGAATTCTATGAAGTTGACAGTAAAAGTTCCTTTGGTGAATTCATCAATCAAAGCCGTTTCTAGGGAAAGTTGGAAAGAAGAGAGTGATTGATTGTCACGCTCATTCTGTTTCATTCTCTGCGCGTCTCTCCTTGATGATTGTTCCTCTTGATAAAAATACCCGCGCGGCATATTGGAAATTCATAGAGATAACGATGACGAA